GATTTTGTGGTTATAATCTTTAATTCATCTTCTGCATTCTTATAACTGTTTTTTTTTTAATTATTGCGTTCAAGGCGCTCCCTTGCATCTGATCATTTTCAATCAATAACTTGAGTCATAGCTACAAAGTAGCTAATTTCCTTTTCATTTTCAATACAATAGTCTATTATAACGAGACCAGACAAATAACGAAGTGAAGTGCAAAAATAATTTCAATTGGTAATTAATGTCGCTAATAATTCCATTTGTAACTTTTCCCTTTGTTGTACGATAACATGTACAAACGACCTATAACGAAACGTTGTGTAAGCTTTTGAATTTTATTATTGGTGAATGTTTTTAGTTTTGAAGCCCTTCGCACTTTTAACAAATAATTATTATTTATAGGAACGGTAGATTTCGTATTGTTGGCAAAGCAAAGTGGTATTTTAATTTTTTTTTTACAACGTAAAATGTAACTAAATGTCTTATTATGTTAGTAAAATGCAATTAATGCATCGTTGCTGTACAAAACAAAATATAATTTTGGGAAGTGGTCAATTATCTTGTTTACTTCAGACGTGTTATTAATAAGTGTGGGTTTACTAAATTACGTAATTCTTACACATTTTTCCCAATAGCCTCAACATTCAGTTGTATTTAAAATGGTTCATACTCGCTAATTTAACAAATAACTTAAAAATTGTTACGGCACATTGAGACTAAGGGACAGGCTAGGCACACTTAAAACCGAGTGTCTTGAAACACATGTTTTAAATACTGTTTTAAACACAATATAAATAAAACGTGTCTTAAATTAATGTGTTTTAAACACAGTTTACAACAAAAAACACCCTTGACTCTCAATTGTTCATATAAGTCTTGTTTAGAATTAATAATTATATATAGGGTTGTTCGGAAAGTCATTTCGTTTTTTTTCGACAGAGGATTTAATTGTATTCTTTTGCACCCAACTTCACATTTAAGCCGTATAATTTTTATATGCTTTGAGAGCTCATATAGCAAGGCTTGTGTGTGAAAAATTCCAATTAATTCTACGCAGTAGTTTTTGGTTGGTGCCCTTTTAAATATGGAGAGCGATAAGCAGCATTTTCGACATATCTTACTGTTTTACTACAGAAAGGGTAAAAATGCTGTTCAAGCCAGAAAGAAATTGACTGATGTGTATGGAGAAGGTGTGTTGACAGTACGCCAGTGCCAGAACTGGTTCGCTAAATTTCGATCCGGCAATTTTGATGTCGAAGATGCACCACGTTCGGGAAGGCCGGTTGAAGCTGATAAAGACGCGATAAAGGCATTAGTTGATGTGAACCGGCGAATAACAACACGTGAGATCGGATTGAGGTTAAATTTATCAAATTCAACAGTTTATGACCACTTGAAAGGCCTGGGATTATCCTCGAAGCTCGATGTATGGGTTCCCCATGTTCTCACAGAGAGAAATCTGTGTCGCCGCATTGACGTCTGCGATTCGCTTCTCAAACGTCACGAAAATGATCCGTTTTTGAAGCGCATCATCACTGGGGACGAAAAATGGGTTGTATACAACAACGTCAAACGCAAGAGGTCATGGAGCAAAAAAGATGAACCGGCTCAAACCATTTCCAAAGCCGATATTCACCAAAAAAAGGTGATGCTGTCTGTTTGGTGGGATTTTAAAGGAATCGTTTTTTTTGAGCTTTTACCGGATAACACAACGATTAATTCGGAAGTCTACTGTCATCAGCTGGACAAACTGAATGATGCACTTCAACAGAAAAGGTCAGAACTAATCAACAGGAAAGGTGTAGTGTTTCACCAAGACAACGCGAGACCTCACACAAGTTTGGTCACTCGCCAAAAGCTTTTACAGCTTGAATGGGATACAATGCTACACCCACCATATTCTCCAGACCTGGCACCATCGGATTATTATTTGTTCCGGTCACTCCAAAATTTTTTAGACGGTAAAACCTTCACCTCAAATGAGGAGGTCAAAAACCTCCTCGATCAGTTTTTTGCCAGCAAAGACCAAAAATTTTATGAGCGTGGAATTATGCTACTACCAGAAAGATGGCAAAAGGTGTTGGACCAGAACGGTCAATATATAACTTAATAAAGTATTTGTTTATTATACGAAAACTGTCTTTCATTTCCACAAAAAAAAAACGAAATGACTTTCCGAACAACCCTATAGTTATCATCTGATGGTAAAAAAGCGATTTATATGAATAGATCTCAATGTTTCTTCATCCACCGTACGATTTGTTAATTGTACTGACTTTGCTTGCGCATAATTGATAAGGTAGTAATTAGTGCAATACGGGAATATCATTAACCATCGAGTAGATAATTAAATGGTCAAAGAAGAAAAACTATGAAGCCTGCGTTGGTCGTCGTTTTTTAGAGGCATTGTCACTGGCCTAACGGGGTCTTGGTAGTTAAAAAAGTTCGTTGCCTTTTAAGATTAACATACGTACATTATTGATATTCACAAGTTCAAGTCTGTCATGAATATTAATGATAGGTGTATCTGTTTAAGGAGTAAACATTTCTGTAGAGTTTCTGAAAAATCATTCGTGTGATTAACCAACAGAATGGGTTTCTTTTTCTAAATTTTATAGGGCAATAAAATGCTCTACTATGTATCTAAGTGAAATCGCTTCCCTTAAGATTAATTCTGTTAATGGATGATTGTAACATGATTACGTGTGACTCGTTAAAAAAGTAATTAAAAATTAATAATAACCGACAATATCTGTAATGACAAATGATGAATAAAGGGAAGAAAATTCTAGGCGTTTGTTCCCAGGCGTGAATTATCCACCAAGCCGAGGATAAGAACGGTAAATTCCTGGGAAGGGCTATCAGACTTTTCCTCCTATATCCGTATACGATTTTTTACTGTACTCTTACCTAAAAGTATTGTATTTGCTCATTTTGGGGACAAGAAAGTGTAACATAACTTCTCTGCTACGTAATCGCAAGTAGGAATTGCAAGCTGAACTGAAGCGATGATTAAAACCATGCGGAGGATATCAAAATTCTTTCTCAATCAGAAGTAAGATAATGCGATCTTTACCGGCATAAAATGACTTGTTGCAAGGGTCTCAAACATATTCTTTTTTATAATTTTAAAATAAATAGTTTTAAAGTTGTTTAGGAAAGTAAATGAAAATTGACCATTTCCAGTGTGAAACTACTGAACCTAAAATTTTGAAAAAAAAATCAGGAAATAGTTCTTTACTTATAGGTCACAGAATAATTAATGAGAAGCCTATGGTTTGAACAAAACGTAGTAAAATCTTTCAACAAAACAATAATGTGCGTACAAATCTACATTTGCTGTTTGAATGTATGGGAGAATATGCTCTTTTTTTCATCTACAATGTTAAGTTGGTTCTCGAGTAAGGGTTCCGTACGTCTGTATGAGAAACGGAACCCGTATAGGATCATTCGTGTGTCCGTTTTTTTTTATCAGAAAACTGTTCCGTTAACGAAAGCCACAAATTTTTATAAACCACTTGCATTACAGTCTCCATAGTGGTATACTTACGTACGTATGTTGAATTATTACCCTTATTAGTATTCGAGTTAGTGAAGCAATTTTCAAGAAAACAGACTCATATAATTGTCATTTTTATTGTTGTTGTTGTGGTAAAAATTTACGTTCGTTTATTGCGGTATGTCTGACTAATTTTTTTTTTTCATGAATTAGTAACCAAGGCAACGCAACGTTTTGAATTAATTATTTCATTGCATTTTGGCTGATAGCAAAGGATAATTTTATTGTGGGCAAAGACAAGGTTTTTGTGCAGGGGACCAACAGAAAAAAAAAAAGAAGGGTTAACAATTTTTGGAGTTAAACAAACTCCAAACTACTTTTATGCTTTTGGTTGTTTGACCAAACTTTATTTATTTAGCATAACAACCTTGCTGTAACATTCGACTTGGATCGGGTCTCCTTTTGTAGCCTGAGGTTGTTGATTTCCTTTCAGGTTTTTGCCCTTATACACCAGGTGAAGCATTGAATTTTAAATAGTCTACATACAAACAAACAGATGCCACAAGAAACTGTAGCACCATAAATAAATGTATGCTTGTGCATTTAAAAATTTGATTATTCTAAATTCTTGATTACTCTAAAGTCACTTTTTGTTGAATTTTCTTTGTAAATATTGAAAATAAACGTAGTATGACTGTTTATCTAATTGAGATTTTTATGACATTGGATCTTTGGATAACATTTCAGTCAATAATTAACCCCCATTACACCTACCTTTGTAATAGATTTTTTTAGGTTCATGATGGTATAGGTACACTATTTATATTACTTTTCGAATGAGGTAGCCAAAGTTGCATTTATTATTTTTTATGGTGAATAAAAGTAAACAAAAACTTGAACTTTGTTAGCCCCTCTAACAATTCTACTATAATAAATGCAAATATGAGGTGTTTTTTTATTTAATACTATTTTACGGCATAACTGCTCAAACGATTATCATGAAATTATGTACACATATTGTCAGGAGTGCAGAAAAGGTGATAGGGTATGTTTTATCTAGAGGAACTCCTGTTCTAGAAAGATAGAAAATATTAGTTTTATGTGGTCACATCCTAGTATTACACACAACTGGATGGTTAATTAAGCATAATCCTTTTAAAATTGCTTTAAGTACTTTCATTTTCTTTCTTTTTATGTTTCGGTGGCTTATTTGTAACATAATAAAAAGTATACTTAATTATATGTGAATACACTTGCGGTTTTGAATTTCCTATTTCGAAACCTACTTAAACGCAACAAGGTTAATCAAAATTTTTTCAAATAGTTGATACAGAACAATTAAAAGTCTAATCGAAGCGTTAAATTAAACAATTTTAATAAAATGCTAGTCTATTTGGTGGTCTGTATTTTTTACTTACTTAGTTTTTTAAACTGAAAGATTTTAGCAATTATTTTATTGTATTTAATTCCAACTTACAACGCTTAAAATACTTAAGTATGATTTTGTTCTTTCCAGATGTTAAAGGATTCGAGACACTACGACCTAAAAGACGCGTGAGAGTCATCATATCGCCGTGTTTATAGAATTTCTGATGATTGAAGAAATGGAGGTGAATAAGATTTCAAAAAAAATGGTCAACTTTGGATATATTCAGTAGATCGTAATTTGAACTTAAAGAAAGTCTTTCCAAACTTGGAATGGGTAAGCTATTTAAACCATTTCACTTTAGAACTTTTAGATTTTATGAAAACTTTTATTTTCATGTTTCAGATTCGATGATAACTACTGCGTTTCTAAACCATAATAAAGTTCTATCGAGGATACTATCAAAATTGAGGGAAATGATCAAGTTTGGGTGCATTCAGTAGATTTTAATTTGGAGTTAAAAGAAAGGCTTTCCAAACGTATAATAGGTAAGTCGTTTAAAACATTTCAGCTTAAAACTTTTGGATTTTATTAAACAGATAGATAGATTATTTTTTATTTATTTTATTAAAACATTATGCTTTATATGTAATATACATGAATTTTACAAACTTTATCCTTATCCTTCTCGCTTTTCTGTTATTTTCCCCCATAGGATTTCCCTGATGTTTTTTTAGCTATTCTTTCCTTCCATTTGAATTTTTCATGTTTTTGCACCATTTCCTGTTATTCCACATCTCTCTCTCTACCTGCACATTTTCTTTTCTTCTTCTTCCCAGTATCCTGCCGTCCTATTTTCACTTCCCAGTCTAAATCTTGTTATTAAAACTAGTTCGTTTTTCCTATTTATTTTTTAGTTTTTCAAGTAATGTAGTTTTTCTTCCCTTAAATAAATGAAAAGTTAGAGTTTTACTTCAGTTTAAATTTATTTCATAGACGCTGTGTTTTAGATATACGATTGCCATGGGACCATTCATTAGCAAGTCTTTCCATTCGTGGAATGGTAAGTTGTTTAAACCATTTCACTTTGAAACTTTTGGATTTTATCAAAATTTTTATTTGTTTATTTCAGATTTGATGATAATGGGTACATCTCTAAACCTCGATGAAGTTCCATTGGGTATGCTACCAAAATGAAAAGGGAATCGATTAATTTTGGATACATTCAGTAGATTGTAATTTGGTCTTAGATAAAGTTATTTCAAACGTGGAATAGGTAAGCTATTTAAACCATTTTACTTTGGAACTTTTAGATTTTATTAAAGCTTTTATTTGCATGTTTCCGATTAGATGATAACTAGTGCCATCGAGGATGCTACCAAAATTGAGGGAAATGATTAAATTTGGGTGCATTCAGTAGATTTTAATTAGGACTTAAAAAAAGGCTTTCCAAATTTGGAATAGGTAAGTTGTTTAAACCATTTCACCATAAACCTTTGGATTTTATTAGAAAGATAGATAGATTGTTTATTTTATTAAAACGTTATGGTTTGTATGCAATATACATGAATTTTACAAAATTAAAATTTTTATCCTTCTCGCTTTTCTCCCTGATCCTTTTTTGTCTACTCTTTCCTTACATTTAAATTTCCTCATGTTTTTGCATTTCCTGATATTTCACATCTCCCAGAAACAAGTTCAAGAGTTTTTAGCTCCAATTTACACAACACATATTTTCTTCTCTGCTTCTTCCTAGTACCCTGCATTTTCTAATTCTATTTTCACTTCACAATCTAAATCTTGTTATTAAAACTAGTTCGTTTTTTCTCATTATTCTTTCGTTTATCAAATAATGTGTTTTATTCTCCTTTAAACAAATGAAAAGTTACACTTTTACTTCAGTTTAAATTTATTTGTGCTGTGCTTCTTTGTTTTAGATGTACGATTGCCATGGGACCATTGATGAGCAAGATTTTCCAGTCGTGGAATGGTAAGCTTTTTAAACCATTTTACTTTGAAACTTTTGGATTTTATTAAAATTTTTATTTGCTTGTTTTAGATTCGATGACGACGAGTGCGTTTCTAAACCTTGATGGAGTTCCACAATGGAGAGGAATGGCCAAATTGTGTAGTGTTCCATTCAAACTGACATTCCTTGGGCGTTTTTTTAATATATCTTAAATACTTATTTGTAAAAGTGGATTTATTGGTGACTAGTTCGTTTTCAAAATTCTAATTTTCATGTAATCTATATCAATTGCTAACTTACTTTTACTTAATCTGTTGTCAAATTTGTTGATTTTTCTAGCTTGAATTCGTACTAATCATTAACCACATTTTATTAAATTGCCTTAATCTAATAATACATTCAATTCTTCATACTTGTAAAGTATTTAAAATACTGTACTCAAATACATATAGAGTATATTTGTAATTGCATTTGAAATACTTTTCAATCAATGAAAGTACTTATTACTTGTATTTAAATGCAAATTTTTCTTTAGTTTGATTTTGCAAATACTTTTTCAAATATTTTTTATAATTGTTAATTTCTATATCTATGCTTGTAGGCTGCACCGAACATTTTCAATGGAGACGGTGGTGGTTGCTTGGTAGTATTCTTCTCAGTAGTTGAGGTCCAGACGCTCCTTAACTAGCTAGAAGAATACTACGAAGCAACCACCACCGACTCCATTGAAAATGTTCGGCACAGTTTCGAACGAAACGTCTGGAAGAAATACAAATTCCACTAGATCACGGCTTGTTAGTCCGGAAAATCTTTATCTTATAATTTTTCAGAAAGTTGTTTTACTAAAATTATAACAATGTTAATATATTTTCCTATAGAAAATCACAAGCTAAGTATCTGAATTTGTATTTAAATACTTTTAAGCAAGTATTTTTTATAAGTATTTACCCTGCTTAGGGTATTTTTAAAAATTATTTAATTAATAAATTATTATTTTTTGAAAAAACTTAATATACTTTGCATTAAATACAACTTTAAAGTATTTGCATTTGTATTTCAAATTCTTTATAACTATTTGTCTTTGTATTTAAATACTCTATGAAGTAAGGGTATTTGTATTTGAATACTTTTTAGAAGATATTTTTTAAAAGAATTATTTCAATTATTATTCACATTCAATGTTTTATAATACACTTTTATTCCTTGATCTTAGCCTGTAACAATTTTATGATACTTACCTACCTTTTTCAATCTTTATTTTCTTGTTTATAGGTGATATTGTTTAAAATATATAACAATTTGCATTCACATTTTACATTAAAACAAAATTTATTCAATTTGAGAAATATCCTTGGTAATGCATTTTCGTAATTTTCTTTTTGAATAGTTTTCACTTCAATTTTATGTAAATATAATTTTATATCTAATCAATTTAATTATCCTTTGTATAATTCTGCTTTAATTTTCATTGTTTTTTCAAAAAATAAGCAGATAATTAGAGATGAACAAATCCTCAAGTGTGGCTTATTTGTAACATAATAAAAAGTATACTTAATTATATGTGAATACACTTGCGGTTTTGAATTTCCTATTTCGAAACCTACTTAAACGCAACAAGGTTAATCAAAATTTTTTCAAATAGTTGATACAGAACAATTAAAAGTCTAATCGAAGCGTTAAATTAAACAATTTTAATAAAATGCTAGTCTATTTGGNTTATATATTTGTATTTATGTAAATAGTACGTATAGGAATAGTTGATGAAATTATGTTAGGGTAAAAGTACTTTTTAGGTCATATCGTAATTGAATTGTAATAATAAAAGGGGAAGAAGGGAATTTACTGTGGGGAGAGAATGCGAGCGAGAATGCAGGAGGAATGATGAAAGGGATGAATATGAGAATATGTATGTATACGACAGATGAGTGAGGGTGAATATAAATGCGAGAGAGGGAGGTAGAATGTAATAATATGAATAAGGTTGTGTTGAGAGAATATATGTATATGAGAATGGCAGGGGCGAGGGTGAGAATGAATGATTGAGTGGAAAAGTGAAGGTGTATGAGTATAAGAATGAATATAAGGGAGAACGTTTGTGAAATGTGTGAGAGAGTGGTAGAATGACAGGGAGGGTGAGAATGAATGCTAAAGAGAAGGTAAACTTGTGTGAGAGGGTGAGAGTAAGTGCCTGTGTATGTGAGAGGGTGAGAGAAGCTGTAAATATATTTTCTCTCATTCCCTTACAACATACATTCTTACATTCACCCTCTCACATATAGATAGAATGTGGGTATAAGTGAGTAGGAGAAAAATGGTGGTATGTATGAATAGGGGTGAAAGAGGAGAGAGTAGAGGAATGAAAGCGATCGTATGTGAAAGGGTAAGAGTAGGTATGTGTGTGTGAGTATGTGAGAGGGTGGAAGAAGATGGTAATTACATTTTCTCTCATCTTCTTACAACACACATTCTTACTTCTACCCTCTCACATACAGATACAATGAGGGTATAAGTGAGTGAGTGAAAAATAGTATGAATGAAAGGGATTGAAAGAGGAGAGAGTAGAGGAATGAAAGCGAACGTATGTGAGAGGGTAAGAGTAGGTATGTGTGTGTCTGTATGTGAGAGGGTGGAAGATGATGTAAATACATTTTCTCTCATCTTCTTACAACACACATTCTTACTTTTACCCTCTTACACACAGAGAGATTGGTGGTATAAATGGGTGTGAAATGGCGGGAGAGGGGTATGAATGAGGATGAAAGGGGAGAGAAAGGAGGAATGAAAGGTGTGCGAGAGGGTGAGAGTAGGTATGTGTGTGTATACGTGAGAGGATGAAAGAAGGTGTTAATACATTTTCTCTCATCCTCTTACAGCACACATATTCTTACTTTCACCCTCTTGCACACAGAGAGAATGGGGGTATGAATGGGTGTAGCGGTGTGAATGAGGCAACGGGGGACACCGGGTGGGCACCGGGGGACATCGGGTGGGCACGGGGGGGCCGGGGGACGCCGGGGGGCCGGGGGAACAAGGGGAGGGTGTATATAAATAAAAAGAGATAAACCGTATAATGTGTTTTATTAAAAGACAAAAATGAATTTTTCACGCCTACCAGGTTTAGCGCGGAATATTTTGTTAATTCGAAGACCGCTTTTACTTCAGTTTAAATTTATTTGTGCTGTGCTTCTTTGTTTTAGATGTACGATTGCCATGGGACCATTGATGAGCAAGATTTTCCAGTCGTGGAATGGTAAGCTTTTTAAACCATTTTACTTTGAAACTTTTGGATTTTATTAAAATTTTTATTTGCTTGTTTTAGATTCGATGACGACGAGTGCGTTTCTAAACCTTGATGGAGTTCCACAATGGAGAGGAATGGCCAAATTGTGTAGTGTTCCATTCAAACTGACATTCCTTGGGCGTTTTTTTAATATATCTTAAATACTTATTTGTAAAAGTGGATTTATTGGTGACTAGTTCGTTTTCAAAATTCTAATTTTCATGTAATCTATATCAATTGCTAACTTACTTTTACTTAATCTGTTGTCAAATTTGTTGATTTTTCTAGCTTGAATTCGTACTAATCATTAACCACATTTTATTAAATTGCCTTAATCTAATAATACATTCAATTCTTCATACTTGTAAAGTATTTAAAATACTGTACTCAAATACATATAGAGTATATTTGTAATTGCATTTGAAATACTTTTCAATCAATGAAAGTACTTATTACTTGTATTTAAATGCAAATTTTTCTTTAGTTTGATTTTGCAAATACTTTTTCAAATATTTTTTATAATTGTTAATTTCTATATCTATGCTTGTAGGCTGCACCGAACATTTTCAATGGAGACGGTGGTGGTTGCTTGGTAGTATTCTTCTCAGTAGTTGAGGTCCAGACGCTCCTTAACTAGCTAGAAGAATACTACGAAGCAACCACCACCGACTCCATTGAAAATGTTCGGCACAGTTTCGAACGAAACGTCTGGAAGAAATACAAATTCCACTAGATCACGGCTTGTTAGTCCGGAAAATCTTTATCTTATAATTTTTCAGAAAGTTGTTTTACTAAAATTATAACAATGTTAATATATTTTCCTATAGAAAATCACAAGCTAAGTANCTCTATTAGAAATAAAGGAAAACATTAAAAATTAATATTAAAGTAAGTAGGAGAAAACTAGTTTCATAAAAAAAGCCTAGAAATTTGAAAAACTTACCTATGTGGTTCAAACCCTATAGTTTACTGTTCCCCTTCAGGATGGTCATTCTCCATTGAACTCCATCAGACGAACTAGAGAAGAAAAATCACTGGAAAGCACCTGTAAGAAAATAAAGGGTTAAAATTTAATATAAAATACATAAAAGTTGGTCGAAACAATCAATTAAGTAATAAGAAAAGTATGTAATTAGACTTGTATTTAAACATTCATTAACTTTCAATACTGAATGATGGTACTAATTAATTAAAATATAAGAATAATGAAGAGAAATACGTAATTTCTGTTAGTAATAAAGGAAAATATTAAAAATCAACATTTAAGTTAGTAGGAGAAAACTAGTTTCATAATGAAAAAAGCCTAGAAATTTGAAAAACATACCTGTGTGGTTGAAACCCTATAGTATACTGTTCCCCCTCAGGATGGTCATTCTCTATTGAACTCCACCAGACGACCTTAAGAAGAAAAATCACTGGAAAGCACCTGTAAGAAAATAAAGGGTTAAAATTTAATATAAAATACATAAAAGTTGGTCGAAACAATCAATTAAGTAATAAGAAAAGTATGTAATTAGACTTGTATTTAAACATTCATTAACTTTCAATACTGAATGTGTTTTATTAAAAGACAAAAATGAATTTTTCACGCCTACCAGGTTTAGCGCGGAATATTTTGTTAATTCGAAGACCGTCCGGGACAAGGCCCGGAATCTGGACGTCCAAGTTCGAACTTAAAAGTCCCCAGTACACGAAATTTCGGAATATCCGGGATACTAAGTTTTGGTTGCTCCGAAATACGAACTTCAAGGTCTCCAAAACAAATAATCCCGAAGGATTAGCTGTTTTGGAGACCCCGAAGTTCGAATTTCGAAGTTTCCAAGACTCAGGATCTCGAATATCCCGAGATTCCGAGTACTGGAAGCTTCCAAGTCCGAACTTGGACTCTCCAGCACACTCCCGACCGACACTCGCGATAAAGGACGACGATTCTTCCGTAGATGGTGAAGCTCCTACTGGCGACGATGTCCTCTCCTGTAACAAATACATAATTTTATAATTTATGGTACTTTGAAGTGACTTCTTTTTATTTTCTGGTTTAAACTAATACTTACAAAGAATTTTCTTTAAATTGTCCTGCCCTTGTTTCAACTTAAAACTATTTTTCATATAAATGTTCAGAGAACTATCAACAGCTCAGGCATTAATGATAAAAATGAATTAAAGACAAGATAAATATCAATGAGAAGTTTCTTAAAATTAGGAAGTGCGCAAATTTCACTTTAACAGTTGAAGGTTCTTTTATAAAGTAATCATTCATTTCTATTATCGCTCTAATCAAACAAATATATTAAGTATTTCAGTTAAAAAATCCACCTTATTAGACAAAACCCCTTCTCCTTCTAGAGGTTTGCCCAATGCAGTGGTTTTTTACCTGAAATAGTTCATATATATTGGTAGATAATTGCTTTATCAGGGAGATAACAGAAATTACTTCTTTATATGTAACATTTAAATAAGTACATTTCCTAATTTTAAAGAAACCTACCATTAATTCATTATTACCATTAATGTGTAAGTTATTTCTTGTTATTTCATTTAATTAAAGAGTAGGTTGAAGTGCAATAAGGACACGACTAATTAAAGAAAAGTCTTTTTAAATATTGCAGAATAAAAGAAGTCATGGTCACATCAAAAAAATT